TACAATATATTTAGTTATGTGTATAATGCAGGAAATGCGATATTATTATTTATCTAAAAGATTAAATTTCAATTTATTAAAATAATACGAATATTCTTCTTTATTATTTTTTAAAGTAGAATATAAAAAGAAATAAATAAATTGATCTTTCACTTAAACAACCAAACAACGTGATATCACGGGCGAGGTTTAAAATACGGCACGATAAAAACAACAGGAATAAAATATCGAAAAACAAAATTTAATTTAATCATTTTCGTTTATCGATAATCTCTAAAAAATGATATTACTGTATTATTATTATTTTTTCAGAACGACGTGTAGGAAGAATATTCAAAATACTTTAAACACTTCCGGCAGATGTTATATCATGCTGAAAATTTAAATTAGTCCCTTATATATATATATATTGTCTAATTTTAGTAATTATTATTATTTTTCGGTGACATCTGCTTTTCTATTACCGAATTTTCCCCTCGTTTATACGTAATCGTAATACGTGACGTAGTTAAGGGAAAGCGAACGAAAATATTCTTCTTTTTAATAAAGTAATAACGGATTAATATTAATCGTGTGGAATTTTCTAAAATTATTACATTATTCTAGACGGAATCGCAATCGTTTAAGTGCAAAGACTACAATATCCATGTGTGCGAGGATGCGTCACCCTAGGCAACACGACCGAGTCCATTCCGATAGTCAGTGTAGAGTCGGTTTACGTCGGGAGGGGTCTGTGTACATACGCCAATGTCGTAGAACGTCGTCAAGGGTTATTTTAGACGGCACTGTAACATTTAAAACATCGCTGCTTCCGAACGAAAATACACAGTTTATCGGCTACCTCTTTGGATTAATCATTTGCAATTTTATTTAATTAGCAACACTTTGCGACTCCTTCACACAGCTATCGCCATCTTTAGTTCCTTCTTTTTAAGACGATAACGTACTTGCAGGCTTCTTTACAAACGCGTTTACACGGTTAAGGTGTCTCGTATACTGTTTACATTGCAACCGACACACACAAGGCAATCCTTATAATGTTACTCGCCATGCTATTTAAACATAAAAATCCGGCTTTTCTCTTCGAGTCGTAACAGTAAAACTGCTCTTCATTTAAGAGTAAAAACAGAATTCAGTTAACATAACACAACTTCACACAGTACTTTTTTATACACAAAAACAAATTCCTCCTTTCCTATCGACTCTCACACGTGATTTATTGTATATACAGACAGTCTTATCGGCATTACTTCCGTGCAGTCAAATGACCTTCGATACAATATTTTTAAGGTTTATACAATATAACCCCGTTAATAAGGTCAAATGCCAGAAAAAAAACTCCGAGAAGAGAAAAAAAACGTACGCGTAGACTTTCCTAATGACGTTTTTCGAACATTATCGATTAACCTTTCGAAGGGGTGTGGTAGTTTAACAATAAATAATTCTACGGATGGGACCATCCATGTTCAATGACACCAGGAAGAGATAACGGATTTATTACAAAATTACAAAAGGAAAATATTAATACTTTTTTTTGCAAACCTGAAAAATCATATTTAAAAATTTAAATCGAATACAAATTAATTGTTTCCTAATCATTCATAAATTTGAAAACTTAAAGAGTATTGCAAAGAAACTTGTCGTCCATCGATTTCCAATATGTCAAACTGACATATTAGAGAATGTGATAAGTGTTCGAATGTGTATTGATTTATAACATGTGTTTGTATAAACAATTCATTACGTATCATCGCCTTTTGTTTTTAATTTCATAAATCTGAACTGGAAATAAAAAAAAAATTATTTAAAAGAATGACAAATTCGAACCCGAATCGAACAGGAAGGGTGGTCGGTGGCCTTTTAATAGTTGCCAACTAGAGGGCCACGACATTCGAAATTACTCTCTCGCCCAGGCGTGAGCGTGACGTCACTCAGACGAATTAGTGACGCGCAGAGAAGCGAAGAGTGCTTTGGTAAAAACCCTTTAATTATAATATCCGCCATACAATCACGTAGGATCCGCTTTTGTCGTTTCTCGACTCAAACTGCGAATTAATACATACAGTACTTTAAATTACTAAAATAAAAATAAAAAATAACCCAAATTCCCGAATGGCGTCGTCAAGCGTTCGACGTCGCCCACACTCCATCGAAATTCGAAAAGCCAAATTATCGGTATAATAAGCGATGGCTATTTATGGAAACGAGCAAACAGACATTTTCGCATTTAAACCTCGACATTTATTGCCAGCGGTGGTGGAATCAGCTGGAAACCTGCACGACGTCATCACTGACGTCAGATCTTTCTCTCTACTACCATGACGTCATTAGCTATCGAACCCGACAAGGAGATGAATATTCCGGACGTCATTCGTAAAGATTACTCGTTAGTCACAATCGTTGCATCGCTTGAAATAAACGAAATTGGCTGACTCAGTCGTGTAACAGTAAAGAAAAGGCGAGCCAAGACGTGTTGCTACTTGTCTATTTTTGTTTTTTTTTCTTCTACATTTCTTTAACCGAATTCTTCCGTTCTTAACAGTTAGAGACGGGCAGACAGACCTAAGGAGGGAGGAGACGATAACGAAAACCCAGTTTTAAATATCCACTTTGCGTTTAGTAGAGTGTACGGTATTTGGTATTGATTGGTGTTGAGTCGTTGATGCGTACTGGCGCCAGAGATGTAAGCAAGGCAAATACGACACGTGATCGACTATACTTCCTGCACCGATTATATTTAGTATAAACGTTATTTACTCTTCCGCTAAGAACGTTTACGCGTTTAGATTGTATCGGCGGTTGACCACCCTCAATGTTTTCAAACTGTTAAATAATATCTAATTCAATATCGTCTACACCACACACACAGAAAATCCAAAAAAAATTCGGTTTGAAAATACATTTTAGAGGTTTTTTGGAGGCGGAAAAAATAATTAATTAAAATTCTATCAAATCGAGTGCTGCTGCTGCTGATGATAATAATGATGATGAGCGGCGATCGAATTAAGTCAAGTCACACGTACACACACACATACACACGAGAAAAAAATGAGGAAGGAAAAAATGTTACACCAAGTACAAACCTTGGCCCCATTCTTATTTTATTCTTCAAATTTGTTTCGATAGAAACGGAGATGTGTATCAAAATTCACGCTCGCTTTTGTTTTTTAGGTTATGAAGATGATTTAAAAAATGCGAGGAGAGAAAAACCACCACCAGACATTCTTTAACAAAGCAGGTTTATAGCCTTTCCGAACGGGGCATACGGGGTTGTGTTCAAAGACCTTGGAAGGGGAAAGTCCTTCATTCATAACTTTCCAATGTCAACGGTGTGATAGAGGATTTCGTGAAGTTTTTATAGACAAAAATATGACGTGTGAAGCATTTAAATGCATTTGCAATCGCATTTTTTTCGTAAAGAATGCGATAAACTGGAAGTATGAAAATTGAAACGGCCAGGTGAATCTCCGAAAGGAACGTCCCTGATTTTTTCTTCTTTTTAAACCCAGTAAATAAACACTTGTTATATATATAGAAACGGTCCAAGTAAATATATAAATAACAAGTCTTGGCAAAAACCCAAACAAACCTTTGCGGAAACAGCTGACGAAAATTTAAAAAAAAATGAAAGAAAAAACGTAAGGAAATATGCATCCTTCCCTATGAAATCCTGGAAAATCCCACAAATTCCCAGTCCTTGACATAACTTGTTCCATTAACCTATACAATTTTTCCCCCTTTCGTTTTTAAATTCTTCGAGTATTTGTATAATCCGGATTTTCCAATTTAATTTTGTATGAGAGATCAAACGAGAAAAATCGATAAACGTGATTGGCACTCCAATTTTCAAAATATTACCCCCTTTCTTGAGTAAAAACAGACTTTAAAATTAAACTTAAATCATCTTTAATATATATACACACAATGTGTGTGTAATGATGATGCCGATGACACTTTGGATAAAATTAGCCTAGGAAGTGCATTTATTTATTTTTTCTGTACCATGTACGTTTGCACTTTCAACAAAAATCCGACCATTTTTAACATATAAAAGAAATTACTGTAACTAATGAACATTTCATAGAGAACAACATAAATTGGTAAATGTTTAAATCTTTATCTTCATCTTCTCAGACCTTTTCTGTTAAGGAGCATCTTCAACGAACTTTCGACCATTGAAAAAATAGATCAACGACCCCCGATTGATGAAACTAAAATCTCAAAAATTACAAAAAATTGCTAAAAATTCCGTATTTAAAAATACAATTAAAAAAAATAATAATAATAAAGGAAGAAGGGAATTCATTCATAAGACTTTCGCAAAACCAAATCACGCAAAGTAAACTCGATGTTCTGTCGTTACGTCATATGACGTCACTGCACCGCCATCTTTGACGTAACAAACATCAAACAATAGCAAAGACAGGAAGGGGAAGTTGCAAACGAAAATTATATATAAAAAATTTATCTAGAAATTCCAATATAGATTAATCAATTGCATTTACAACGAATTCGCGTCTTTTAATCAATTTAATTAATAAAAAAAAATTCAGAAATTTACAATACATTTTTTTTCTGATTTTCTTACAGAGCGATTCGGGCCATGTAAAAATCGAGGCGGCGATATATATTTGTATATAAACATATATAGATTTTTTTCGCTATGAATTTTTAAAAAATTATAATCTAAGAAGCGCCAAGTGGATTAAATATCCATCTCGAACCAGCTGACCATGGCTTCCAAACTAACATTAGAATCGATCCAGACAAGTGTGTTTCTGGAGCTGGAGCAGTGGGGCGCGAACTGAGTGAGTGAGTGAGCGAGTATGTGTGTATGCGTATGTATGTATATATATATATATAAATGTATGTGTATGCTTGTATGTGCCTGTGTTTGTACGCGCGTGCACCCTAATCCAAAACCAAAAGCTCATTAAAAAAAATGTGCGCGCAACTTTCGGACACGAAAAACGAGGATAGAAAAAATGAAGGAAACTCACCTGATAGTATCGACGATTTCGATAGCCCCGTCGTGTTTGTCCTACGAGAACGGATAGATGCATTATAAAAGGGCTAATTCCCCACATAAGAACATATCCATTGAAAGTGACGTTGACTTACCGATGCCGACAACGGCCATTGATACACTGCTGGTTCGCGCCCCGAAGGGCTATGAAGTCTTAATTCCAGTGCCATCGTCCACTCTAGGACAGACTCCCACGACACCGCTACCACTGTGGCAATTAGACGTTCTTCATTTTACCACCGAATGGACGCCACACAAACCTTGCCCCTGTCGCATACATCCAGCACAGCAGAGGACGGAGATGGGAGATGTCACGTGACGCACCATCAACAATCTGATTGGTCGTAGCGGTCAAGCTGGTGGTGGCATTTAAAACAAAAATTTTTACTATTTCGAACGAGAAAGATTCTCTTTACCGATCGCGTTTACTAATATATTCGATAGTTTCTTAATAAATTGATTCGTTAACGGAACGAACGTAGAGGCCAACTAACTCTGGCGCGCCGTGCCAGACAATGAAAGACTCACCTTGGTCACGTGCACCGGAAGTAAGCGATCAGAAGAAAGGACTTCAGGTAAAAAAAATAATAAAATAAAAAATAAAAAAAGGAAATAATTCCCGCAGTGATATTTTCATTCATTGGTCGTTTCCACGTACAATTTGAATTTTCTAAGGAAGCGATATAAGAAAAAAAAATTAAAATTAAACTTACGTCACATATTTTATGACTAATCGAAAGTAAGAATTTCGTATCGCATCCGGTATTGCTTTCATTAGGAATTTTTACATTCATTTTAAACAAGGGCGGAACTTTTAGAGTAATAAACAATGAAAATTTTATATAAATTTTTAAAAATGTATTAATTAAATTAAATTTATATTAATTAATCATCGTGTTATAAAACTCACAATTTTAATTTATTTTTAAAATAAACTTTAAACTGTTTGTGACGCTTTTTGAATTTACGAATTAGTGTCTCCATCTGACGACAGAATTTTTTATTTCGGGGGTTTTTTTTGGCACTTTTTCTAACGCCATTAAACTGCTTCACGTGACTATCGAAAGTTAACAACACGCAAAAAAAATTTTTTTCAGATTTTTAAATTAAATTTTATGCTTTAAAAATCGAAAAGTTTATAATATAAATCTAGAGTATAGAAAATTAGTTTATGAATAATAAAGTTGTGTAGACGTTCGGTAAACAAAGGTCGTCAACATCCTACCATTTCCTGTGTTTGGTCGTGATATGGGAATATAATTTTTCGCCTGTTTTGATACACGTAAACGTCGTATCGAAGAAATCGATTCGTTTAACGATTGATCACGCCGAATGATACAACTCGCAGACGACCTCGTTCAAGAATAAACAATTCAAAGTATTATGCACATAAATCCCATCCGTCTGGTTTACTTCGATTAATCGTTTGCAAGTCTCATTAATAAATTTAAAAAGTACAGCTGGCATTTATAGAAATTCATCGCTTCTTCAACATTACTTTCTCTAGCAGCAGACAGACAAACGTACAGACTGTTCAAGCTTTTAAAACAGCAAACCAACGAACTCGGAAAGGCGCCAAATATAAAATATCCATTTTACACTCGTTCCTTTTTAAAAATATTGCAGAATTCTGCCCCTATTCAGCATTTAAAAAACTAAAAGAAAAAAGTTTAAGTTCAATGACCCGTCTTTCATTTGTATAAACAGTATTTTAAATTAGAATTATTTTATGGTTTTTTTTTCCGTACAGTTCTAGACAGTTTTGATTGTTAAAAAAATTTATTTTTATACACTTAAAAATATTTTAAACAACATTTTTGGCTAGACGATATCTGCAAAGAGAGAGGAGAGCAGACAGAAATCACCAAACAAAACTTTCCAGACGAAAGGGGGAGGTAGACATTTACCTTATAACGCCTGTCTATAAAAATTGCATTTTTTTTTTTTTACTTTTTTTAACGTACTTGCGCCATCTGGGGGGTGTAAAGAAAAATCATGTCTGGGTTTTATTTTTATATTATTAAAATATTTTTAAAAAAGTATTTCAAAAGATTAATTTACATTCGCTAAAATTGCAAACAATTATTTAATATTAATTTTTATATCTGAATTTTTTTTAGCGAATACGCGTTTATTGGCATTAAATAAAATGTTTATAATTTTTTTTGTTGCGCCATCTTGAAGGAAGAAAGAAAAATCATATTTTATTATTTTTATTTCATTGGTTTTAATTATTAATTAAACAAATACGAATTTATAAATAATTTTTACATACACATTTTAACTTTTAATAATTTAATAATTTTTACATTTTTACATTTTAACTTTTTTTTAAAAAAAATGACAAATATGTTTTAATATTAAAATATGCTTAATCAATGCATTTATCATCAATACAATCATCATCGTCGTCGTCAGATCGGATATATTTTCTTGAATTTTTACCTTTCTATTTTATGTTAAAATTTTATAAAATTTTTACGTGTGTATTTCATTTTAAACTTATAAAATTTTACATATTTATTTATTCATGACTTTCTCAACGAAAACTTATATTTTATTTGAATTTGCTGTATATATATAGTTACTTTAATTTTTAATTTTCTTCAAATATAAATGATAAATTTTTAAAAATTTTAAAGTTTAAAATTCATAAAAACAAGATTTTTTAATCATTTTATTATGTCATCGCTAGATGGCAGCAAAAAATTTTGTAATTAGATGACGAATGCATTAATCATTCGATCGTTCTTCAATGATTTAACTTTTATGAATGACGTGTCGATATCGCCTACGCCGGTTTAACTTTAAAAAAACTGACTCAACCTCGAGAAGTGATTAAATTCCAAGAAGTGTAAATTTAAATTGAATAAAATGACTTGAGAGGAAGCGTGATGATTCTTACGGAAGTTATGACTAATCTTCGCTATGAAAATTTTATTTTAACGTATAACCATTTGTACGATGATTTAATCGTCATCCACCCGCTATGTTTATAAACCTCGCGATATATATATATATATTTCCACCATCATTTCGCATTTTCCTTATTTATCATTGTTGTGTAAAGTTTTCTTCTTTCAGGTCGACGATTTTTTATTTATTCTTTCCATGAATATCATAATTTGCTCTTTAAAATGTTTTATTTTTTTTTATTTTCTCGCGTTTAAAAATTATCCAGTGTCACGTGATATTCAAATTATCATCGATATCTGCCGAGTTGCCATTTCTTATATCACGACAATCTTATCAAACGAAATTTTTCAAATTTATCGCGCGATTATAAGAATGATAAATTAATTATCTACTTTTAAATTAAAGCAAAAAATAATTGTTGTAGAAAACTTATTTTCGCCAATTTAAAAATTTAATTTTCCATCGAATTTAATTAATTAATTAATTAATTGATTTTAAAATTTGAAGAAAATAAACTGTTAGGAACGCTTCCGTTTTTATTATTATTATTTCATTTTACACATTATTCTAGCAATACTTCTAAAAATAGAAAAAGAAAACGTCGTCTGCTTTGATGTCATATAGTTCGTGACGCCGAAATACCGTTCGCGTCATATTGACGTATCCTACACAACAACGTCATTCGACAACCTAGCGGATTTATTTTCAATAAATATTGGTTGTTTGATGAGTAGCGGATTATATAAAAAGCGTTACAAATACTTCACGTGGTAAAAATAAATAATCTAACATAAATGACTATGTGTATAAAAATACGTTTAGTTATAAAATTTGTAAGTTTTCTTTTTTTTAACCGAGCGAAGTAAAATTTTAAATGATGCAAAAATTCTACGACGTTCATTATTCAAAAAAAGCAGAGAAAATGTAAATGTATTCTCCTAAATCGATAAAACTCTTTTATTTAATAAAGAAAATTATTCAGTTCTTAATTTTATGTATATTCTATGCTTTTCAAATAATTATGCAATTTATCATTCTGCTTTCAACAAGGGAACAGACTAAATGATGAACTTTCTTTAAAGTTTACGCTACTTCTTCGCCCGTCTGTGGGTCTTTACGTTTTATGAAAATATCTCCGAACAATATTAGATGAAATTTTACATTATCGGAATAATTTTAGCAGCTCAGATATGTTTAAACGTGAATATTTGAAAAGATTTTTAGTGTATTTGGGTTAACTAAAAATTTGTGCGCTTAAACTTTTTAAAACCAATTTGAGAATAACTTTAGGGGAATTTTAAGACAATATTTCGATAAATTACAAAAATATTGTTTTGGAGAATTTTTCAAGCATATTCAAGAACATTGTGTGCTCTTTCTTAAATTATACTAATCAGGAGTCACTGACTGATTATATATACAGGAATCAGAGTTGCCGATTTTCGGAAATCGATTTCTCCGTCCCCCAAACACATGAAGTAATTCCGAATATCTCGTTCGAAAAAAAAAAAAACTGTTTTCTTAGGTAGTGTACAAAATTTCAAGATTTTCTATAATGTGGTTCCCGAAATATAAGCAATTGAAAAGTGCAAAAATCTCCAAAAAAGCTGTATTTTCTTATGTTTTCTTCATCAAGAGCTGGAGACGCTCGTAGAGAAAAAACCATTGGGTCTAGAAAGCTCAAATTTTAAACTTACGCCTTTCTTGTTTTCAGTAAGGACTGATGAAACTTCCGGGTCGATAAGTAAAAGTTTATGGGGAAGAGTAGAGCTAATTCAGTTTTACGGATTAATTTTATGCTTATAAGAAGAAAATCGCATAGAAACAAATTTTATTCAAAATGTTACTCAGAATTACAAAAGCTCAAATTTATGCGAATTAACTTTTATAAGGATTTTTCTACAGGCGCGCCTATAGAAAAATCCTTATAAAAACTTTCGCGCCGCCGAGCGCCGACCGAATTGTATGTTTTCATCTTATGTCTTGACGTAATAATACAAGTATTAAACAAAAACATCCGATACGTAAAAAGAATCTTGCTAAGTAAAAACTTGTGACAATTTAGACGACAGTCAAATACTTTTTAGTTTTCCTCTGGTAAAGATAAGCTTGGCGCTTCGAAGTGGCATCAACAAGATTTTTACTTGTATTATTCTTTTCTACATTTCGCTTCCAAGCACCAAGCTTATCTTTACCAAAGAAAAACTAAAAAAATTTTGATTGTCGTCTAAATTGTCACAAGTTTTTACTTGGCGAAATTTTCTACATCTCAGATGTTTTTGTTTCGATTTATGTACACTTTTATCGGGCAATTTTAAAGAAAATCTGGACCCATTTTTCAGCATTTTTAAAGCACACGAAGCACTTGAAAATTTGTTTTAAAAAAATGCCTAAAATTTTAATAATTTAACTTGATTTTCATCAAATTTTTAAACCACTTATTACTGTGAAATTGCTTTCAAGCAATTAGCTACACCGACGATAACTTTTTTACATGTTAGAAGTGCATATTATCGATATAGAAGACAAAGAAAAAAAAATTGTTTCTTAAGTTCTTTAATGCAACAATCTACAAGTTTTCTAATATTTTAACAATGACTTACACTTCTTCCACGTCACTGACATTTTTAATTTATTTTTTTTAATTTACTTTTTTTTTCCTTTTCGTTTCCTTTGAGTCTTATATACCAAAATTGTGAAAGTACAGTACTACTGTAAAATTATTATTAACGAGTGAATATACACGTAGAGAACTTTTAATTTTTTTTACACAAACACACAGAAAAAATGAGCAAAATTGTGCTTATCGTTTGCAATGAAGTTACACAANATACATATATATATATATATAATATATAATTCTTTTTCTTGTTTTTTAAGGAAACAAAGGATCAGAAAATTGAATAAATTCTTAAGTTATACAGTAAAAGTAATTTGCGTTAAGCACAAATAATACAGATTGTACAAGAACAAAACAAAACCAAAAAAAAAAATAATAATAATATAAAAATTAGTTGGTATACAACCATGATACAACATTGTTTTCTATGTACAGTACATGTCCAAACTCGGTGCTCTTATAATTCCGCATTTATGGGAACAAACAAAACTATTTTTAATGTAGTTTTTAAATTTGTTCACCGACTAACATAAATTTTTATTTAATTTTTAAACTTTTAGAACGTATTTTAAAGGCTTTTACAGCGTATAGAAATTCCCAAATTGCTGAATGAATGACAGATCATGAGGGATTACTTTTCTTGTAAGTGTATCTTTTGTTAAAATGCTAACTTTTTGATATAGCTTCAAATTTTGAGTCCAAGCAATTAATTTATTAAATAAATATGATTTCTTCGTTAACTCGTGACCAGTATATTTGATTATAATATAGAACAAGTAAAATAGCTTCTTTTATAGATACTGAATAAAATTTAAGCCCATCATTCAAATGCAAGGAACAGATTACAAATATCTGACACACAAAAAGCAGTTGAACTGTTGTAAAGAATCGTCCAAATAATGCGAAAATATATAAATAATGACAAATAAAGATCTCTAATTCTTAGTTTCCTTTTAACTTTAAAAAGTTAAATCAATTTATTTTTCATTGGAACGATTTTAAAACTGATTTCACTCTATTCCTTTCCTCTATTTTTGCTGTATTCTAATCTTTCAAGTACTGTTAATACTTTTAGTTAATTTAATAAGCTTTCAACTAAAAAAAAATTATTATTATTGTATTATCTACATCCTCGAATCAGAATATCCGCGATATTAGTTAAAAGTATATTATTTAAACTCAACGTGTTCCATTAAATTAGGCCGCTGAGTAGTATTCTAAGTGGAGAATTCTAACAAGTATATTTTTCTTAAAAACTGCATGCTTCTGTCAAGGAAAAATGGCTACCTGTAAACTGAAGCTTTATATCTGCAGTGTGTTGCAGTTAACTGCAAATAACCAAAGGACGTATTTTATTTTGACATATGTAAAATCTCCACTTAGAAATATTATCATCTTACAGAATAATGATGATGTGACGGCTTTTTCTGTATGATATATTCCCTATTTGGAATGGGTGACACATTAAATGATTTAATTAATATACTTTACAGTATTAATGTGGAATAAAACTTATTTTCTACTTGCATACCGACGTATTCTTGAGAATTCAAGACAATGCAAGATTAGTTGATTGTTTATTTTTGGCATTTTTTTGGTTCTTTTAATGATATAAAATGTTTCAGGATTGTATACGTAGATCTCTGCTGATCTATTTAATCACACAGAACATATCATTAAACAATTCTTTAAAGATTAGAATAACAACAGCAAAAAGTATGAAAGAAATAAAGGAAATACACAATTTTCTTGTGAAAACAATACTGAAATAGTTCTGAAAACAATAATTAAGGTATATAAATAATTAGAGATGGATGCAAAAAATTCGTAACTAATAACAAGTAATAATAATAATAATAAAAAAATTATTATTAACGAGTGAATATACACGTAGAGAACTTTTAATTTTTTTTACACAAACACACAGAAAAAATGAGCAAAATTGTGCTTATCGTTTGCAATGAAGTTACACAAAAAATTACAAAATGGAAAATATCAAATATGAAATCTTAAATAAAAAGACAATGAAAAATACTATACAACATGTGTAAATTGTGATTTTATATCTTTGTTTTGTATTAACCTATTTTACATAATCTTCTGCTAATTAAAATGTTAAATGAAAGTTTCAAAAAATATTAATTGTGGATTCAAGAAAAATCTCGAATTTCTTTTTTTTTTTAACTTTATCACAGTAATAAATTGTTGAACGAAATGAAACATTATTTACAGAAAAAAATGCAAAAACGCAGATCTTAGGAGGAACATCATATGATAAATAAAAATGTAAAATGTATAATTTTTAGTATGAGTTTTTTTAATGTTTTGATATATTTAAATGATTTTTAAGTGCTGTAATGGGGAAAGATTTGCTGTGATATGAAATGGAAAATACAACCATCACCACAGAGTCAAAATTTGAAATTGGCAACTGCAGAAAGTAACTATCTACAGAGTGAACATAAAAGATCGAAATTCCAACCTTTTGTTTTTTTTAATTGGTGACTGAATATTGGCCCTTTTCATGTGATTTATTTTTGTGAGTTCTTGCAATTTCTTAAAAATCTCTCTTTTAATTATGTTTGTTTAAAATACCTAAATTGATATAGAGAGAAGATACATATGTGTAGATATATATATATATATGTATGTATATATACGTAGAGAGAGAGATAGAGAGAGAAAGTAATTTATATTTATATATTTAATAATATTAAATATATTGTCACTGTGAATTATTCACCCCCCAAATAATTATCAAAAGACAGTATAGGTTGAACTGCAATAATCATAACCAGCTAAAGGTTGGCACGTTTTCCCTCAAAGCACATTTATACTGCATAATGTATAAATTTAATTTCTAAAGTATTAATTTTCAATATATTATCTACTTACAAGGAAGGAAAGTAGTGCTGATTTTAGAAATCTATTTGTGACAACATATCCTACCCCTATTTTGCTTCATTCACAGGTCCTGTTTGTTTATTTTTGTGGTCACCTGCAATGCTATCCATGGAATATCACAAGATTGCTAGTTAGTGAGATCACTTTCTTGTAGTTGCATTCAATTTTCTCTTTCTCATTCTCCTATTTATAATGCAATCACAGTAATTTGATCCTTATATATATATTACTATATATATACACATCTCTTTGGCGTTACGATGGGATGGCGAGAAGTTTCAACATGCGGTCCTTCAGATGATTTTTATGGCAATGCCAACCTTTATTCGCTAAATGTTTGCAAAGAGATTAAAACTAGCAAGTACTCGAGCTACCAAAGTCAAGTAAACTTGCCCTAAGGATTCAAATCTGAAACGATGATCTGTTACAGAAGAGAACAAAAAAAATTAATGCCGATGAAATTTTCTGGAGGATGGACTACCCATCTTACATAAATTCTTCTTCTTCGGGTGGTTTTCGAATCCAGGTGCCTTTTCCTAGAGTCTGAAATCTTTCAAAAAGAACTTCTTTGGCTTTTTGAAAATTAGCTGCAGAATTTTTCACTTCCCCATATGTTTTGTTGAGCAAATCTGTTCTCTCAAATATGTGGCAAACCTCTTTAAAACTTTCATAGAGAGCTGACTTGCAAAGCCTTGATGACACTTGACCATTGGAACTAAAATAAATAATATCAAATTTACATATAGATTATTATTTTACATTTCTTAAATTATATAATTAGTAATAATAATAATAATAATAATAATAATAATAAATTATATATTGTGCAGAGTGCTTCAAAAAAATGTTAACAAGAGATATGCTTGAAGATTTCAAGCATGACAATGGTAACAAAGTAGAAATTCTTGTCTCTGAAATTTTGAGAAATTTGTTAACAACAACAATACAAGCTATTTCTTACTGTTTTCATTAAAAACAATAGCCTCAAATAAATGTTAATGCTTCTGAACACTATATTAATAAAGCAATAGCTTTACAGTACTAGCTAAAAAACAATCAGTTATCAGATAAGTAAGGTCTAATTACAATCTATTTTTGACCTGAAAAACTGACTTTATTATTCAATTTTGCAGATCAAGCTTCTTTAAAAGTTTTATTTTATCAATTAGCATGATTTTATTCTTTTCATATCAATTAAAATTAACTAAAATCCCTTAATATTAGTTAAACTATACAATTTATAGTGATACCAAAATCAAAAAATGTAATTGAAGTCAAAACAATTTTAAATTTTTCAAAACAATTTTATTAAATTTTTTCAATTCTATTACTCTGCATCATTTTAATTAAAAAGAAAAGTAATCTTTGTTAAGATGAAAAATAGTTTGACAATTACCAATTACTTTTTTAAAAATAATTACTAATTTCTGATTTTTTCAACTTAAGTAAACAAGTATTTATATTTGATATAATGTATTTATATATGTAAATTAATTCAGGCTATTTTTTTTTATATACATTTTTAATAAATCACAAATCCTGCACAATTTTGTTGTTTTATAATTTCAATATAGAAAGAATATGCATTTTAAAAGCAATTCAAAAATTAAATTTTTTCCCTCATTAAAAACGCATTTATTATAAAAACTGTGATAATAGAAATATTAATAGTATAAATTCAGTCCTCAAATTATGGCCCACAGCAAAGCATTACCCAGCATATGTTGCTTCTAGACAATTAAAAAAATGGCAATTTAAAAAAATATTTTACTTGCATTCAATAATTCAAACTAAAGCAAAGAAAAGTAAGCAATATTTACTTAAAAGGGCAATATTTACTTAAAAACAGAGATCCATTTTCTCAAAATCAAACATTTATTTACTTCCTAAGGTAGTTGTCATAGTTTTCTAATCTGTACTTCCCAAAATGAACAAAATTTGTAATGTATTTTATTTGTGTTCATTGTGTTTTCTTGATTTTTGATGAAGTTCTATGATTATTCTAATTTACATATATACAGGTAGCCCTCGGTTTACACTGGCTCAATTTATGCCAATTCACAATACTGCCACTGCACAATTTGCCATTTTGCAATGTAATTCTTCGATTTTCCCTATGCTAGAGTGATATTCATTTCAGTGTTGACGTATTTTCCAAGCTGTGACATTGTACATTTGTTAAAACAAAGATTTTTATTGAATATATTTATTTTTTCTGTTTAATATTATTGGGTATGTATACATTTGCATTAAATTAATATTAAAATACTAAACATTTAGGTACACACGAGTCAAATTATTAAACTTAATAGTCCAATAAATGACGTCCGAATCCATAGCGTGAATGAATGTATCCCGTATCAGTTCATTCAGGAAAAAACCTTATGATGCAGTAGCACTTCCGGTGATCACAAACTATCAATAGTGAGACAAATCTACTTCTTGTCAGTCAGACAATATCTATCTCTCCTTAGCCACCTTCAATTTTTCCACTCAAACTGACCTTATATATGCACTACGGCGACCGGTGGTTGACAAATCAGTGTCTCCACTCATCTGTAGCTCTACGTTAGGTTAATGTATCCGTTCAACTATGAAAAGTTTGACAGATGAACTTTGTGAGTTAGACAATAAATGGAGCAAATGTAAAAAGGAGCATCATCGCATCCATTCAACCATATTCTGAAATTCTTAATGAAAGAAAACAAAAATGTAAACAATTAAAGATGGATACTTTTTCCGAAAATGTAAGAGATCCGAAACTAAAATTTTTAAATAAAAACATTTCACTTTATTTTATGATAAAATACATTTTAAAAATTAAATTTATATGTAGTTTCTATTATATCGTATTAATAAAAAAAATTATTTGCTTATTTTTCACTTATGTATAACCTAACCCTACACCTCACTGTAAATATGGGTCCATTTTACGCCAATTCGATTTGCGCCGGCTTTTGTAGGAACAGAACTGTGGTGTAAACCAAGGGTATAGTGAACTGTAAACCAAAGGTGAACTGTTATAGAGAAATGCAGATCCCCTACTTTTGCAATTGAGAAACAACTGGTTAATTTTATCCAACCAAGGATTCAAGATTACCCATATGCTATTAATAACTCTATTCAACTGGTGGACAAGCTCAGAAACATTAACCTTGAAGATAATGAAGTTATGTCCGTGATGGATTTTAAATCTTTATTTCCATCTATAAAATTACCGCCTTGCTTTTGTGAGCTGAGAGATTTCCTTCTTACTAACATTAATAATGCAACAAAGTATCACCAACATATTTTAAGAGCTTGCACACCTAATTTGTTATACTTCGTTTTTTGTATTTGAAGGGATCACTTATTTACAAGAAAGAGGGGTTCCAATGGGGAGCCCGATATCCCCATTATTATGTGAACTAGTATTACGACGATTAGAAAGTAATGTACTGCCCGTCTTTATAAATGACATACTTGTATATGCAAGATATGTGGATGATGTTTTCATCATTTGGAGGAATAGTAATAGCGCTCAATATTTCCTTAACAAAACGAATAACAACCCATATAGTGTGACTTTAACATTGGAACAGAAAAGTGATATTAACATAAATTTTCTGGATCTGTCCATAACTTGTAAAAATGGGGAAATATGGCCAGATATTTATTGAAAGCCTAGCTATCTACCTATTATTATACCGAAAAATTCCTTTGATCCTCAGAATTTTAAGAATGCAGCCTTTCGATCATGGATAAAGCAGGCCTATACTTACTGTACGAGTATGGTTGACACACACAGAGAATTAAATTACATATGTACAATAGCTGTACAACAGGGATATCGTATAAGTGAAATTAACGCTCTTATTGATAAATTTTATAATCAAACAAATAAGCAACCTACAACTAAGAGCCAAGGATGAAGAGTAGTTCTCAACTATATACCTTTTCTACAATCGATGATTAAAAAAGTATCTCACAAGAATAATTTAAGAATTATTTATCGTCGTTAATCCTACAATTTATGGAATTTTACAAAATGATAAGAAGAAAGGAAACTGTAACAATAGTACAGGAATTTATTCTATTCGTTTAAGTGACCCCTGTTTTAATTCAGATCTCGTTTATGTTGGTGCCACTATGAGACTTTTAAAACAGAGGATTAAAGAACATAAGTACAGTAGAGCGTCGGTTATCCAAAAGAATTCCAGTCGACAAATTTAAATTTTCGCCAGTGCTCTGCAATCTTTGGTCATGTCTTGGGCTACTAAAATATTTTACATTTTTGATACTAAATTAACTACTGAAGTATAATTTTTTATTGTTTTTATATTTTTCAATATATTTATTTTGTTCGTACAAAATAAAAAAATTAATTTTTAATAATACAATAGTCTTCGTTAGGCTTAACATCGACGAAAATTCAATGCGAAGCGACATGCAATGGAGAAAAATGTCAAGATGGGATAAATTAATATATTTTTTTGTACATAATCGGTTATCCGAAACATCGATCTTCCGAACAACCCCAGTCCCCAATTGATTCTGATAAACGACGCTCTACTGTATTCTATTACTAAAAACGTGGACAATACCGTCCTTGCAGCCTTCGCTTAACATCAAGATATTAATGTACATTGGGACAAAGCATCCATAATTAGGACAGCCACCAACAAACAAGTCCTTAAACATATTGAAAAACTTGAAATTTACAAGGCAATATTAACAAAGGATGCATCAACCATAGAGATGCAGAAAGTCTATCCTGCACATGGAAATCTTTTTACCATGATGATTAATTTTTTTTAAATTTAATTTTTTACCACGATTAATTTCTTAATATTTTATTTATAATTTAATTTTGTTTTTTACGTTCTATTTTATTTTGTTGTAATTAATGTTAATTTTTAAACCGTTGTATCGCTTGCGTTCTATTTTACGTTCGTTTTCGTTTTAAATTGGCTTAACTGAAGAAGATTATTAAATATAGTCGAAAACGTTTTTATTTTATTAAATACTTCGTTGCTGGAAATACTAAGGTGTTTGATTACTTTAAGTTTATATTCCAGTAAGTTATTTTATTTTATTGAATTGTATAGTGATATAGTGAGTGAGTGAGTGAGTGAGTGAGATATTAAATCACTCTGGTCCACTGCTGTTGTCAAAATTAGTAATGTGTGGCCCTCCTCTTTTGGGACCCTGATATAAATGAATGAGAACAGACAAGTATGTATATACAGTAGATCCCCCTATAAAAGCGTTTCCTATAGTTATGATTCCTATAAAAATTGTGGCATTATCCGTATACAACGGTAAAAATAACTCCTATAATACGTAAAACGTCATCGGGCAGCCGAACTACTTACCCGCCGTCCGTAGCGCCACGCTACGGAGAGATTTCTATCGTCTGGACAGTATTATATAAATTATATATAAATTAGGTACTGTACATATAATTATATATTAATTATATATAAATTAGGTACTGTATATATAATTATATATTAACTTAATTTATTGTAACTTTATTATAATTAAATATATATTTTTCGCCGTCTAGCGTCACGCTACGGCGAGTTAGGCGACCTATCGTCTGTTTAGTACTGTAATTTTATACATTTCTTGTGAAAGAAACATTTCTTATTTAACGGCCATAAAAATTATTTATATTAATGATGTCTCCAAAGGTCAACGAAGTTTTCGCAGAAAAATAATATCAGAAATCGC